CCTCCTCCTCCTCCTCCTCCTCCTCCTCCTCCTCCCCCTCTTCCTCCCAGACCCCACCTCCTTCACCCTCCATCCTCCATGTCCCACCCTCCACATTCCACCATCCACCCTTCACACGAGGCAACGACACAGTGATATTATCGGGGGGGGAAATACATCGGGGATCTCCAAAACCAAGCGGTTCAAGAGGATGTAACGGGCGCCGCCGCCTTGCTGAAGCACTGCAGAACGCTCTGAAGGCTCTGGAACAATTAATCCCGATCCTGGCCCCGCCCGAACCCTCCCTCTCCTCCTCCTCCTCCTCCTCCTCCTCCTCCTCCTCCGCCGCCGCCGCCGCCGCCGCCGCCGCCTCTTCCTCAGACGACGACGACGGCGGTTGCGACGACGACGACGGCGGGAGCGACGACGACCGACGACGACGACGACCACGACGACGAAGACGACGACGAAGACGACGACGACGAAACCGACGACGAAACCGACGACGAAACCGACGACGACGACGACGACAGCGGGGGCCTGGGTAGCCTCCCTCCTGCACCAGGCTGGGCAGCTGGTTGTAGCCTCGGAGCGCGGCCGGAGCAAGGGAGCGCCCTCCCGAGCCCAGGGGAGGCTGGCAGGGGGGCGACGCTGACAGAAGAGAGGCGGAGGCGAGGCGAGGCGAGGCGAGGGCGCCAGAGTCGGGCACGCAGGTGTGCCAGTGCCCTTTTTGGCCAGGGCGCAAGAAGCCGTGGCCTCAGATCGTGTCCGGATAGACGTCGCAGACGAAGTTCCTCAAGAACCAGTGCACAAACCAGGCAAGGAACGATATGCGTGCGAGCTGGGGGAAGTAGAAGGCGTGACAGAGGATGTACGATGTTCATGAACCTGGTCAGGATCGAGTCGGCGTGGTCGGTGTCGTGGCTGCTCCTGTTGATGGTCGTCGGTAGTCGGTGCTGTATGCCGGTGTCGCTGCTGCGTTGCTGTTGGTGTTGCCGTCGGTGTCGCTGTCGGCGTCGCTGTGCTAATGTCGATGTTAATCGGTTGATTGGAATCGTCAGAGGTAGAAGTCTCATTTAGGAATTCCAATGGTTCCGTGCCTGTGTCGGCCAGAGCGGTCACCATCACCATCACCGTTCTACCATCACCGTTTTGGTACCAGAATTGCCCCATCCACGGCAGATATCATCATCGGTGGTGTGGTCGGTGTTCCTGTATATTCGGTGTTGTTGTGCTGGTGGTGGTGGTGGTGGTGGTCATTTGGCGTCGGCGCTGGAGGTCAGGAAAAGTTACTGGTGCAACTGGCGTCGGGGAGTTTGCGCCCTCAGCTGTCGTATGCAATGAAAACGCTCTCAAGAGAGTCCCACCATGTGGTGTCTGTCGCGGCTGTCAACCATCTCACGTCGTTACTGTCGTAGGAGGAGTAGGAGGAGGGGAACGAGGAGGGGGCGGAGGAGGAGGAGGAGGACGACGACGACAACGACCGAATGCAACGAGACAAAGATAACCTGATCAAACTCATGACAAGTGACGCGCCTCATCCGCTTGAGCAGCCCACACTGGCGACCTACGCAGAAGAAGCAGTTCCAGTGCGCAGCAATGACTCCCACAACGATCAATCCCAGCAACGCCGGGCGACCCCTACGACTAACCCGCGCGATGATGCTCCGACCGACGCAGACGCCACGGGCACCAACGGACCCAGACCCACATGATATAAGCACCCCACCCCGACAACATCAAATACCAGGACGTGCCAGCCAAACCACCCCCACCGCAACAATACACCACCCTTACAGACCACAGCGACCCCACCCCCGCGCGATGCCCCCCCCCCCCCCCCATGTGGGCGTGGCGTGGTGCCCCCCCCCCCGGTGAGTGTGGTGTGGGATCCCCCTTATGGGTGTGCGGTGGTTAGGGGGCCCGCCTCAGCAGCCAAGCCTCGCCGTCGCCGCCACCGCCGCCGCCGCAGCCGCAGCCGCCGCCGCCGCCGCCGCCGCCGCCGCCGCCGCCACCGCCACCGCCACCGCCACCGCCACCGCCGTCGTCGTCGTCGTCGTCGTCGTCGTCGTCGTCGTCGTCGTCGTCGTCGTCGTCGTCGTCGTCGTCGTCGTCGTCGTCGTCGTCGTCGTCGTCGTCGTCGTCGTCGTCGTCGTCGTCGTCCCCCATCCCATCAAGGGGGGAGGGGGGGCCCGAGAGACCCTGAGAACCATCCCATCTGGATGGAAGCCGTGGGCCCGGAGCCCGGGATCATATACCCCTCAAACCCCAAAACCCAAAGAATGCAGCCAAGCCCAAGAAAAGCAGCAACATGTCGCCAAAAACCGACTAGTCGACACGATCAGCAGCATCCACCACGATACCAAGTACCAGGATCATAACCGACAGCTTACCTCACCTGATCAACCCTAACGCCTTATGCGACCCAACGCATGACATGTACAGACAAGAACGACACGAGCACGATCAGGACAAGAAGTGCTTCAGCGATGCACTGCCGCGCAATAAGGGGGCCTCCAAACGGACGTCACACCCGTGCGATGTGATCACAGCAGCGACCCAGGGGAGCCTCCCGCGATTAATCAATCCACCAGATGAGCAGCCTGATGGCCTACCCGACAAGCGACATAAACCAAGGCGCAGCCAGACACCGATTCACCCAACGGGACTGCGACGAGATCATGGACTACGTCAAGGTTGGCTTACGGTACAAGCCCACATGGAACACCAGCACCATTCGCAACGACAGCATTTTAACAGACAGCCACTAACGACATGATCCAGCACATGAACATCCTTTTTTCAATACGCCGACGAGACGCAACGAGTCGCCCCACCCTGTAACCAGAGAGCCGACCAAAATGATCCACCACCCAACCCCAGACGCAACCCCCACGGGGACCAGCCCCCGACCCCCGACGAGCAAACCGAGCCACACACAGGCATCGGGCTACTCAGCAGCCCCAGCAGCTTCCGCACAAAGCCCAACGGGAGACAACCAGCAGGATACAGCCTGCACCCAGCCAAAGCACACCGACGACACCTGGCCCCCCACTGCCGACACCATTGCCCAGGACTGGTGCTCTCAATGAACAAGCGCATGAGATCCCAGGACCTACGACACATGTTATTGCAGCAATACCTGAATCACCAGCAGTGCTGGGGCCTCGGAGGCGGCAACACGAAGAGCCAACTATCACCAGCCGGCAGCGCTCGGAAAGCAGAGACCGCCGCAGGAAGCGAGATGCTCTGTCTTGCGACGTTGGACCTGAGCGGAGGCAGAATCGGCGACACGCAAGAGTGGCTCTACGCAAATGCGACCTCTGGTGCGCGGCCTTTAGGGGAGCGCGGGGTGCCAAACCCGAACGCGCAACCCGCTGCTACAGTCGGACCTCGCGCACGGCGGCCGCAGCGGCCAATCTTCATTCCCTCCTGGCTCCGCCTTCCTGCCCCCTCCGCTGCTCGCACCACTAACCTTCACCTCCGGGGAAACGAGCGGGGCTGTGTTGGGGGGGTGGGGAAGGGGCAAGATCGCCACCGCCGCCGGCCGCCATGGCGTTGGCCACGGCGGCCGCGGACACCGAGCCACGCCTCAGGCAACCATGCAACGCTCTGGCACCATAGATCACGCTCCTTGCAACTGCCCCTAGCTCTTGTTTCTCCTTCGCCATCCATTCATTGCACCGCCCCGCATGCTATCGTTGCTTTTGCCGCCTTTCAGACCGCGCATCTTACTCGTGCTCAGCGCATTTGCAAGTGCAGTTCCCCACTAAGCGCTCACTGCACCGCAGTGCCTACTGTCCCCCTTTTGGTCACGGTTAGCTCGTCTTCTTCTTTATCGTCACTGCTTTTGCGCCGCAGAGTAATTCATTGGCCAGGGCGGCCGCGGTCACAGCTTACTTACCGTCTCAACCTCTGTCGCACCCTACGGATGCAGCTGCAGCATCTCAGCCCAAACCCTGACACCGCACTCTGGCGAGTTCACGCATGTGGAGGGCGGGGGGGAACCACAGGCCCCCGTGGCCGCCACCAAAGTCGGGGGCGCGCAAACATGGATTAGCGATCCATGGAATTGGTGCGCGGTCGCCAAATCCATGGATCGGGGGAGGTGCCCACCCCAAAATGCGGCCGGTGCCGCCTCGTTCGGCGGCGGAAATCCGCGATTTCCCACGGAAACGGGACCCATCGCTAATCCACGCCCCCTGGATCAGTGTCTGCGATCGCCTGACTGAGGGATGGCGGAAACCTCCCCCCGCCAAGTGGACACCCCAGCCCGCCCCCCAGAGTCCCTCCCTGAGCCCTGCGCCTGCCCCGGCGGGCGAGGGCCCCCTCTGGTCGGACCCGGGGGTCGGGTTGCTGGGGTTCCCGGAGGGCAGGGGAGAGGCCCTTGCGTTAGGCTGGGCATGTCTTCCTATAGGCGGATTTTGGACGAAAAATGTAGTGCTCGGACATAGGGTCAGACATGCTCCCTAAGTCGTCCCCTGACCAGTTTTCGACTATTTTTGAACATTCCTCCTGTAGAGGGAAGCGCCGGATTTAGTCCTTGCGCCATCCCACTTTGGGCGAGAGTGGCCACAGCCGCACGCACAGCTCAGCCCAGCCCAACCGCGCCCAGCTGATCGGCCGTCTTCCGTTCCGTGACCTTCTTCTACTCTGCCCACATTTCGTCAAGGTCAGTCGCGGTGCCGTTTCCGCCGTGTCGTCCTTCTCCCCTTGCCTCCCCTCCCCCCCGGGTCGCTGGGAGACTTAGTTACCTCGCACCTGGGGGACATCCTTGCACCGTCGTTCCCCCTCTGCTTTTCAACTGTTTGACCATCTCCCCCAGGGGCGACCGCGTCTGGTGGGGCGGGGGCAGCGAGTACACGACACTAATGCGATCAGTCCTGAATCCTTAGGAGGAGGAGAGGGGGGAGAGGGAGGAGGGAAGTGGAGAATGAGGAGGAGGAGGAGGAGGAAGCATTTCCGCCCGATGTTTAACACGTTGTGAACACTCCATCCTGACCCCTGTCCCACGCGCGCAACATGCAACGGCGCGTTGGCGAACTCACCGCGGACACCCGACGCTGCAGCGGCAGTGGCAAATACTCTCAAAAGCAAGACATGGCAAGCGCACAATGTGTGAAAGCACAGGGGCGCATGACTTAGAATCGAGGGTGGGCGCGCATAGCATCACCCTGCAAGCAAAAGGGCCGCGTCATTGTCAATGTGAGCGAGGAAGGGTGGCACGAAGTCATCAAGCACTTAGCCGTGGTCGAAATATCGTCGCCTCGATAAGCAAGCAGCAAGGGCGCGACCCCAGCGATGCCCAGGCTTGTGGCGCGGGCGGCGCGAGCCCGCTGCCGTCCACGAATGGAATGGGCGGCGTGGCAGCTGGAATAGCCCAGTGTCCGCGTTGGCGAGGGAGGCGCGGCCCGCGGCCATGAATCAGCGCGACCAGGACCAAGGAATGCCCCAAGGAACAAGAGGACACGGACAAACAGACGCCGACCATACAACCAGGCTGCGCACTTCACGAACAACCGCTGGCGCGGGGGGGGGCCGCGCGGCCACGAATGTAAGTCCACGCGCGTCGCCATCCCGCCTTGGCCAAAGACGCCGATGAACGACGCGGGGAAGGTCGACGCACTCCTTTTCACAAGGGGGCACGTCGCCGATTTCCGTCCTCAAAGGTCGCAGATGGCAAAGTCCCCGCCCTGGCGAACGCCGACATTGTCGAGCCGAGCGTCGCCGACGCAAAGCCCCTTCGCACCTCCCGCAAAGAAGCTCGCAGCGCGTTCGCCGCAATCGCGTCACGGAAAAGGTCTTGGATGCCAGGGTGCGGGAGGCGCTCTACCTCCAGCGCACACACCGGCGCCTCGTCCCCGTGAGCGTTGATGGCGTTGGCGTAGAATGCGTTGCACGGCTACGGCGGGAACTCGCGATTAGTGTCCATGCGAAGGGTCTGCTGCTCGTGTCCGTTGGTCCTCCAGCCCTCCCTCCCGCCGAAGGCGTCGCGCCGCGTCTTGTCATCGGTGGCCGCCCGCCCCCATCATAAACATCGGCACCATCAACAGCATAAGCATGAACATCATCACCACTACCGTCATGATCATAATTGCCATTTCATCCCGTATATGTATCAACAGTCGATCGGCATTGTCAGAATATTGATCTGCATCATCCCGACCGTTCCCTTCCGCAAACTCATCATCGTCCTCCTTGGGACCTTCTTCTGGCCTCCATCATGCACACCATCCTCGTGATCCGCCTCCTCCTCATCATCAGCAGCATCATGATCATCAGCATCATCATCATCACCATCAACATCATCATCAGCATCACCATTAGTATCATCATCAGCATCCCCATCATCATCATCATCATCATCATCAGCAGCAGCAACATCATCATCAGCATCATCAGCATCATCATCGTCGTCATCATCACCAGCATCTTCAGCATCATCATCCGCATCATCGTCAGCATCATCATCATCAACACCATCCTCATCATCATCAGCAAGAGCAGTATCAGCTTCACCAATCTCATCATCAACAGCATCATCATCAGCAGCATAATCATCAGCATCAGCATCGCCATCAGCAACATCAGTATCAGCATCATCATCACCATCAGCATCAGCATCAACATCATCATCATCATCATCATCATCAGAATCATCATCACCATCAGCATCATCAGCATCGTCATCAGCATCGCCATCATAGTCAGCATCATCATCAGCATCATCAGCATCAGCATCAGCATCAGCATCAGCATCATCAGTGCCATCGCCATCATCATCATTGTTATCAAATTCACCAATGTCATCATCACCAACATCATCATCAGTAGCACAACCATCATCATCAGCAGCATCAGCAGCATCACCATCATCGTCGGCATCGTCATCGGCATCAGCATCAGGAGCAGTATCATCACCATCAGCATCAGCATCATCATCATCATCATGATCATCGTCGTCGTCGTTGCTGGCAGCCTCATTATCAGAAGCATCATCAGCATCATCATCATCACCAGCATCCTCACCATCAACAGCATCATTAGCATCATCAGCAGCAGCATCAGCATCATCATCGTCAGCATCATCGTCAGCATCAGCATCATTATCAGCATCATCATCATTATCATCAGCATCAACATAATCATCACCAAAACCATTAGAATCATCACCATCATCGTCACTACCACCGTCTTCATCGTCTGCTTGTTCCCGCCCGTCGTGGTCTGCTCCTGCCGATTGGTGATGGGGATGTCGATGTGTAAACTCCCCAAAGCAGTTCCCGCCGAATAGGTCCCAACAGAACCCTGTGGAAAGAAGACTCCCGCCTGAGATGGCCCCCAAAAAACCTCAACATCAGGAGGATTTCGCCTGAGGGGTCCCAATAAGCCTCTATGTGGAGGAGGCGTCCGCCTGAGGAATCCCATAAAAAAACACGAAGATGAAGTGGCTCCCGCCTGAGAGGTCCGCACAACACTGTCAGAGGAGGAGGCTCCCTCATGAGAGTACCCAAAAAACAAAAACAAAAACGGAGGTTCCCGCCTGAGAGCCCCGACAAAAAAACGCAAAGAGGCAGAGGCTCCCGCCTGAGAGGTCTAAAACAATGAGTCAAGTGGAGGCTCTCGCCTGAGAGGTCCCAAAAACACCAAAAGAACCCCTAAGAGGAACGCCTCTCATCCCTGCAACTGCCGACCCACCGAGACCATATAACAACAACAACCACAACAACAACAACAACAACAACAACAACAACAACAACAACAACAACGACCACAACGACCACAACAACAAAAACAACAACAACACTAACAGCTACAACAGCAAACAACAACACCAACAACAACAACAACAACAACAGCAACAACAACAAAGAATAACAACAACAACAACAACACCAACAACAACAACAACAACAACAACATCATCAACAACAACAACAACAACAATCAGTTTAAGACTGTTCGCTCCGATCTGCTCACGGGCCAACCAATACGTATATCCCAGAACCTCGGTACCCGCCCTCGACGTCTTCGATCGTACCCCCTTGGGGGTATGTCGTCCTTACCTGCCACGTGCATTTAGTGCAGCCCCTAAAACAAGGGAAGAAAAGGACGGGTGGAAGGGGGGGAAGAAGAATGGAGCACGAGAGAACTTACCAGGAGGGGGCAAGGAGCAGAAAACAAGTGGTAGAGCCAGACGGGCAGGTCGGGTGGGCAGACCCACAGCGGGCAGGTCGGGAAGGCGGGCCCAGGCGACGAGGTCGAGCAGGCGGGTTGCTGAAGCGTGGGTCCTGCATGAATCGCGAGGAAGTCTCGAGCGATAACGCGATTATCAAGTACATCGTGAAAAAAGCCAAAGAGAGAGCGTTATTCCTGAGCGCCGAGGGCTCATCGTCTGAATAAATTGCGAGGGACGTCCGACGCGAGAGCGCGATGCGTACATGCCATGCATTGTGAGGAAGTCCCGCGAGAGCGCGATTTGGGAGTAAGCTGTAAGGAAGTATCAGGCGGGAGCCGTTGTTGTTGTAAACCAGGGGCCAGGGGCCCAGCTTGAGCCCCGTGACTTCCCCTGATACAGGACAAAGTGCGAGCCCCGGGGGAACCACTTCAATTGAAAAAACACATTGGTCACCGGCGGGGGGGGTGTCAACAATAAATATTCTCCAGTGGTGAAAATTCAACAACCACAACAACAAAAGCCACACCGACACCATCAACAACAACAACAACTCAAACCACCACAACCATAGCAACAACAATATCAGTAGCAACCGCAACAACAACAGCAGCAGCAGCATCAGCGAACATAACCACAACAACAACAGCAGCAACAACAACAATAACAATGCTTCAGAAAAGAACCGACACTGCTGCCCCAGTCGTGTTGGCAAGGGCGGCATACTCCTAGGGAGATGTGTTTCCTTGTGTTGTGGGGCACTTGCAGACATGAGACACCTTCCTCTTGGGTGTTGGGTTTGGGAGGGGGGGCTCTCAGGTGGGAGCCTCCATTTGACTCAGTTGCTGGGGGACCTCTCAGGCGGGAGCCTATTACTCTTCGCGTTGACTGGAAACCTCCCAGGCGGGAGCATCTTCCTCTTCGTGTGTTGTGGAAACATCTCAGGCGGGAGCCTCCGCCTGTGTCTTTTTCGGCTGACCTCTCAGGCGGAGGCCTCCTCCCAAGCGAGTTGTTTGGGACCTCTCAGGCGGGAGCCTCTTCTACAGAGAGTAGTCCACCTCCTCCCGTCCCTTTCCTCATGCTCCTCCTCCTCCTTCTCCTCCGCTGCTCCTCCTGTTCCTCCTCCTTTTCTGATGGAAGCCTTCTCAAGCAAGAGCATAATGGAGTTGCAAGATGTTGCAAGAAAGAGAGAACGAGAGAGAGAGAGAAGGAATGAAAGAAAGTAGACGAGGACACTAAGCATTAAGCATAATAACGAAAGGAATGAGAAGAGGGGGGATGAGGTAGGTCCCTGTGGAGGGTACCATTCATACATACGCGCATGCGTAAATGCATGCATCATACATGCGTATGCGCGTGCGTGCATACGATCCAGACACACACACAGAGGGAGAGAGAGAGAGAGAGAGAGAGAAATGTTCACGCATACCTGAACTCCTCATTATCTCCTCCTCCTCCTCCTCCTCCTCTTCCTCCTCCTCCGTCTCCTCCTCCTCACTCCTCACTCCTCTCACCTGCCTCCTTCCTCCTCCCTCCTCCCTCCTCCCTCATCCTCCTCCTTTTCCTCCTTCCCCCCCTCCTCCTCCTCCTCCTCGTCCTCCTCCTCATCCTCACCTCTAACCTCCCTCCTCCCTCCTCCCTCCTCCCCTCCTCCTCCCCCCTCCTCCCCTCCTCCTCTCCTCCTCCTCCTCCTCCTCCTCCTCCTCCTCCTCCTCCTCCTCCTCCTCCTCCTCCTCCTCCCCGCAACCTCCTCCTCTCCCTCCTGATCCTCGTCCTCCTCTTCTCGTCTCCCCGCGGGGCATTGCGTTATTTGGATCATCCCTTCGGTGGCCCCTCCTTCATCCCCTCTCCCTCCTCCTCCCCCTCCTGCCCGAAGGGGGAGGGGGGGAGGGGGGAGGGGGGCGGGGCCTGCGCCAGCCGCTGCCGGGGGTGCCTTCGCCTCCCCAACCTGGCCGCCAGGCGCAGCCTGACCGCGCGCGCGGGGGGGGGGAGGGTGATGGGCCGATGTCCCACCACCACTGCTACTATAGGCAGGAGAGGGAGGAGGCGGAGGAGGAGGAGGAGGAGGAGGAGGAGGAGGAGGAGGAGGAAGAGGAGGGGGAATAAGACCGATCACAACCACTTCGGACTGTTCAAGAACTACTTCGGTCGAATTGCAACCACTGGAAACGGACTGATCGCAACCTAAAGGACTCCTATACAAACCTGTCAGGAGAACACTGGCTTGCGGCCGATCCAAAAGCTCCTGCTGAGGCCTCTGAAAGGCTTCTCTGAGGCCTCTGAAAGGCTTCTCTGAGGCCTTTGAAAGACTTATCTGAGGCATCTGAAAGGCTTCTCTGAAGCCTCTGAAAGGCTTCTCTGAGGCCTCTGAAGGGGTTCTCTGAAGCCTCTGCGAGGCTTGTGGGAGGCTTCTGAGAGGCTTGTGGGAGGCTTATGAGGGGCTCCTGGGAGGCTTCTGGGAGGCTTCTGGGAGGCGTCTGAGAGGCTTCTGAGAGGTTTCTGAGAGGCTTCTGAGAGGCTTCTGAGAGGCTTCCGAGAGGTTTCTGAGAGGCTTCTGAGAGGCTTCTGCGAAGCTTCTGAGATGCTTCTGAGAGGCTTCTGAGAGGCGGCGGAGAGGCTTCTGAGAGGCTTCTGAGAGCCTCCTGCGAGGCTTCTGAGAGGCTTCTGAGAAGCTTCTGAGAGGCTTCTGAGAGGCCTGCCCCGCAGGCCCCACAGGTCCCACAGGTCCTGCGTGTCGCACGGGCGCCGAAGGTCTCGCAGGCCGCGCAGGGCGCACTCGTCCCCCAGCCATGGTTCCCACAACCACCACAGGCCCAGACCGCCTGGCGTCGTGACAACATCTGTTTTTGTTTCGGGCTCGGGGGACCATCGCCAGGCCCAAGGGCCGTCCAAAAGTGACTCAGTATGCAATGCTGGTCTACTGTAGGTTCATGCGGCGTTGGCGCGCGGGCGACGTTGGCGAAGGCGTTCAAGGCTGCATTTTGCGGCGCGGAAGCACCAAGGGACACGTTGGGCCCACTGTGCCCGACGAAATTCAACATTGAACGATCGGGGCCGCGATCACTTCAAGGTTGAACGATCCATGCGGTACCAAAAGCCTTGCGGGCGCCGACGCCGCACGAACCTACCGTAGGGGAATTCGTCCAGACCTCTGGGGGTCGACGTCCTGAAACAGTCATGACGTTGGGGATTTGGCCGCCGCGTCTACCCGCCTTGCCATCCTGTCCTCTTCCGTTTCCCCCCCTTCTCCTCCTCCTCCTCCTCCTCCTCCTCCTCCTCCTCCTCCTCCTCCTCCTCCTGCTCCTGCTCCTGCTCCTGTCCTTCCTCCCTCCCCTCCTCTTCTCCCTTCATCCTCCCCCCCCCCTCCTCCGCCTCTTCTTCTTCATCCTCCTCCTCCTCCTCCTCCTCCTCCGGCGCCTCCTCCTCCTCTTTCTCCTTGGCGGTACCAATGGACGAGTCCGATTTCATGGAGTCAGACTTCCAAGAGTCCCTCAAGCAAGCCATGGACGGCGAGGGGGACACGTCTGCGGCCGTGGCCAAGCTGCTGGCCGAACACGCGGCCAAGAAGGTACGGCGTGGGCAGCAGGCTGGGCATGGCATACCTGGACCAGGAAGCCTTCACACTGGGTAACAAGATCGACGAGGCCTGGGAGCAGGCGACGGGCTACGCTGTCCCTGTGCTGCAACACGACCTTCGAGTCGACTCCCCGCAGCTCAGCTGTGTCGGGAGAGGTGTCGGCCTCGACCTGCGGCAGTGGCCGCCGCTGAGAGCAGAAACCTTCGACAGGGACCGTCGGTCCCAAGAGGCTGCCCCCCCTCGGGTCGCGGACCCTCGAAGAGGGTCAAGGTCATGTGCAGGGGCTTCGGGTTCAAGTTCCGCGACTTCGGCAACTGAGGTCAGTATGTCGCGCGAGGTGGGCCCCCTCGGTCGCAACAGGGTTGGGGGCTCGCCCCGCGAACCCACAAGGAGCTCGGGTACGCTGGTGACTACGGCGGCTGGAGGTATTCCCCAACTGGCCCGCTCCTCGGGGTTTGGGGCAGGAGCGTCGTTGAGGGCACTTCAGCATCCCCAGCTGGTCCGCTCTTCGGGGCTGGGGGCAGGAGCAAGCTTGAGGACATGGGCTGCATCGCGGATGGCGGCTGGTTCTACCTCGTGGTCCACGCCCCCGGAAGGCACGCACTGCTCAGCTCCACCCGATGGCCGCTGGGGCGCTAGCGGGTACCGACCTGCGGCGTGGGCCGAAGGCACGCACAGCGCAGCGCCCCCAGGCCACTCGGGGATAGGAGCCCGAGGGCACCGACCTTCGGGGGGGGGCATGCGGCTCAGGGGCCGCGATTTCTCCTCCACACCTTGAGCTGCACGCAGCTTCAGAAAAACAAGTGTCAGGACGCGACAGGGGGATGGTCGAGCCCCCTGGTCGTAATCTTATTGTCGACGAACGAGTTCCTGGTGTGGCTCGAGGATCGACTGAAAGCCGTGTAGCATCGGACATTGAGGCGGCCGACGTGTCTGGTGAAAGTTTGCAAGGGCAGCGCTGGGAGTTCCAAGAGGTGTTGGCCAAGGGCGAGCATGTGGAGTCCCTCGAGGCAGAGTACGACGGGAGGCGGGTCGAGGTTGTCATCGATGGGCCTCCCGACCCAGAGCCGGCAGTTAAGGGAGAAGCCAAGTCGCTCTCAGTTCTCGGCATGAACGCTAACGCCTGGAACACCGCGGAGACGGTGGTGGAGTGGCTCATGGACCGTGGCGGTCAGCATGGTGGATTGCAGGAAGTTCCAGATGTGCTATGCGTGCAAGAGACTCGGCTGAAGAACCCTGACAAGGTCAGCTCGGCAACTCGCTGGTGTAATCGGCGTGGGTGGCACGTTGCTCATGGGCAGGCTCGCAGCACAGGCCCAGGCCCTTCGCATAGTTCATCAGGAGTGGCAGTTGCTGCGCAGCAGTCCCTGACGTCTGAACACGTTGTACCAGCCCACCTGAGCGGCTGCATGAGCCGCACTGTGATGAGGAAGGTGAGTGTCGGTTTCCCGCAAGGAATGTTGATCGTCTCAGCCTATTTCATCACGGGTCTCCAGCTGACGGGACCTAACTTGGCTATGTTACAAGTGCTGGGCGAGTTTCTCCTGAGTCAGCCGCTGCCCTGGATCATCCAAGGGGATTTCAACTTTTTGCCGTCAGACCTGATCGCGCCAGGGTGGCTCCAGACTGTTCGGGGAGAACTGGTCCCGCCTACGGGTCCGACGTGCGCTGGGGCGTTCGCCCCGAAAAATCGCACCGTGGACGAAGTCTCCCAGACCATCTCGGAGGGCGAGGTCCTGGGCTTGGAGGAGTTTGAGATCTCTGGAGGAGGGGGCCGTGTCCTGGACTACTTCGCGGTGGCCGAGCGCCTCATGTCTAGGGTCAAGAGCCTCAAAGTCTTCGTGGAGGCCCCGCTGTATCCCCACAGCCCTGTCTTCATGGAGCTCGAGGGCCTCTCGCACACCGCGGTGATCTGCAGGCAAGTGAGGCTCAAGAGCTTCGAGCACGACCTTTATGGACCCCAGCAGGAACCTCCAGGAGACCTCGAGTGGGGCTGGGAGCTGGGCGCCGACAACGTGGGGCTCCCCCTGGGGGAAATGTGTAAGAGGTGGTTTACGCTCTCCGAGGCCCGTCTGGTTCACATCCACGGCATAGAGAGCGCGGGCACCAAGTACTACACGGGAAGGGCCCGAGGGCCCAGAATGCAGAAAGTTCCGCTGGGGGCTCTTTGGGGCAAGGATCAGAGGCGAAGGTTTTCCAGGACCACCACCTTTTGGGTCGCGTTCCAGACCCTGCTCCAGCGCTGTCGTCTTTCTGCTGCAGGTGCAGTTGGCCGTCGAGGCCACGAGTTTCTCTCCAGCTGGCGCGTCAAGCTGGTGCGCATGATAGATAGCATGCAGCCCGTTGAGGGCATTCTCTCGGCCTCCGTGCTCGAGGAGCTCGCCTGGGACGCCTCAGAGGGCAAGCTCAAAGGGGACTCAGAGGTGCTGGGGAAGCTAGATGAGGAGGTCAGCAGGAGGAGGAAGCTGGACGCCAATTAAAGGAGTGGAAGGCATGGGCGGTGGGATCCGTTAAAGGAGGAGGGACGCCCGCACATGCTTTTTCGAAGAGGCTCCTGTCCAGCCCCACGTCCCTGCTCAATGAAGAGGGCCACCCAGTATGCGGGCAAGAGGCGTTGAGTTGTTTTTTACGGGCCTGGCTGCCGCTCTGGATTGCTGCAGGCCGAGGGGCCGAGCATCCGTCGTTGTGGATGACACCGCCAGATCAAGCCGAGCTGCCACCCATTTCGGGTGATCAAGTTCGAAGGGCGTGCAAAAGGTATGCGAGGACGTGCGGTGTGGGCTGGGACGGTTCCCGTCCCCGCTGGGTGCTCATGCTCAGCGAAGAGTTCACGGATAGGCTCGTCGATGTGCTGCACCAATTTGAGAGAGCCCCGCAAGACCTCCTGCTGTTCATGACTAACATCGTGTGTCTGGACAAGAGTGATGGTGGGGTCCGCCCAATAGGGCTCTTGGCTTTCTTCTCGAAGATGTGGCCCAGGGTCCGTCAGCCGCAGTTCAAAAAGTGGGAGAAGGCCCACATGGACGAGGTGTTCTGGGGCGTGAGCAGCACCACCACGTGTGAGCGAGCTGGTTGGGTTCATAATATACTGGGGAGGTACTGCCGTAGTGTCGGGTTTGAGTCTGGAACCGCTCTCCTGGACCTGTCGAAGTTCTACGAACACATAGGGCACGGAGACTTGTATCGGGCGGCGGTCCAGTTTGATGTTCCTGTTCGTCTGCTTCGGTACCTGTGCACTATTTATTCAGGTCCCCGCACGCTGCTGCACGGAGGCGCCGTCTCCAACATTGCGCGCGCGAACGGGTCGGTCATTGCAGGGTGCAGCGGGGCGACGACGCTAGCTAAGTTGCTTCTCTTGGGACCCCTGCCCAAGGCCAAAGAGGGGGGAC